GGTGGATAGCAGCATCCTCCTGTCATGTGTGTCTCAATCCCACGTCCACCCCTGGGGGTAAGGGACACAGAGACGAATCCAGGGAGATCCCTGCCTTGTGAGGCTCCTTTGTCTGGAAGGGAAGCCAGGCAGAGCCGTTGGTTACCAGGATATATGAGCTTTCTGGGGAGGTCACCACAGATGGACACACACTGGGTGGCTCAAAGCAACAGAAGTGCATTATCTTATCATCCTAGGGACCAGAAGTGGCTCCAGGCAACCTTGGGTGTTCCTCGGCTGTAGCTACAATGCTCCCATCTCGGCCTGTCTCCATGTGACTGTGTCCTCTGTGCTTGTGTCCCTGTGTCCTTTCTCTTACAAGCATCCTTCTTGGATGTAGGGCCCATCCCAGCCCAGGATGATCTAGACCCTTCATCACATCTGCAAAGACCCTCTTTCCAAACAAGGTCACACTCACAGATACTGAAGGTCAGGATTTGGACATCTCTTTTGAGGAACACAATCAGCCTACTACCCCTGGGGACAGAAAAAGAGAGAGTCCCCAGGAAGCTGGGCTGAGGAGAGGCAATGGGGACAGCCCTGCAGGAGGGGAGAGCCAGTGATTAGACAGTGACTTTTTAGATTCAACACCCAAGCACCATTTGTGAAAAGGGGAAACTGAGGAGCTGGTCTTTGTTAAAAGGAAAGACCTTTGCTCCACAGAAGACAAGCTGCAGACAGGGAGACAACCTTTGCCAAACACCTTTCAGATAAAGGACTGACGTCCAAATTAAACAATAAAAACCTCTTAACTCTATAATAAAACGAACAACCCAATTAAAAACTGGGCCAAAGATCTGAGCAGACACCTCACTAAAGAACATACACTGGCCCTAACCAGTTTGGCTCAGTGGATTGAGCATCAGCCTGCGGACTGAAGGATCCCGGGTTCGATTCCGGTCAAGGGTATGTGCCTTGGTTGTGGGCACATCCCCAGTGGGGAGTGTGCAGGAGGCAGCTGATCGATGTTTCTCTCTCATCGATGTTTTTAACTCTCTATCCCTCTCCCTTCCTCTCTGTAAAAAAATCAATAAAAATATATTTTTTTTTAAAAAAGAAGATACACTGATGGCAAATAAGCATATGGACATATACTCCATGTCAGATGTCAGAGGGGAACTGCGTGTTAACACAGCAATGAGATCCCACCACACCCCTGGGAGAACGGCTCACGTAGGAAGCACGGACCACACCAAATTCGGTCCAGGGTGTGGAGCAACAGGAATGCAAAACAGTACGGGCTACTTTGGAAGATGTTTGGGGTGTTTCTTACAAACCTAAAATAGCCTTATCTTAGAACCTATTCATTGCATTCCTAGGTATTTGCCTGATTAATATGAAAACTTATTTCCAGGCAAAAATCATGAATGCTTATAGCAGCCACATGCAATATATAGTCAATCTAGCAACTACGGCCCCCAACTGGAAGCGACCAAAATGTCCTTCGGTAGGGGAATGAATAAACTGTTTACATCCAGAACCTAGGTTCTTACTCAGCAATAAAAAAGAAATAATGAGCTCTCGGGCCACGAAAAGACACAGGGGAACGCTGAATGCATACTGCGGAGTTCAAGGAGCCGGTCTGAAAAAGCTACTTCCTGTTGTGAGCACAACTATATGAAGATTCTCGAAAAGGCAGAGCCGTGGAACCCAAGCAGGGGTTAGGGAAGCGGGAGGGGCGGGGAGGCTGAGCAGGCAACTCTTAGGACAGTGGAGTGATTCTGTATGGGACACATAAATGCTGTGCATTCCTCAAAACCTGCAGAATGCACAAAACCTATAGCGTGAACCCCAAAGTAAACCGTGAATGTCAGTTAAGAACGGTGAATGGACCGAGGCCCTTTGATGTAACAAAGGTACAACACTAACGCAAGCTGTTGCTAACGGGGGTGGGGCGATGGGGGAGGAAGACTGTGTGTGTAAAGGGGGAGGCTGTGTGAGAACTCCCTGTACTGCCCGCTAACCTTTTCTATCAACCTGACATTGCTCTAAAAGAATCATCAAAGGTCATTAGTGAAGGGGGAGGAAGGGTCTGAGCCAGAGCCAAGCAGGCGGAGAGTGAGAGGAAGGCTCTCGTGATGGAAGACGCAGCAAGTACGAAGGCCTGGGCGGGGAGGGGCCGGGTCCTGCAGGGAAGCTGAGCGTGGGGAGAGGGTGGGCTGGTGTGAGCTGCAGGAGCGGTTGGAGGTGGAGGGAGGACAGGACCAAGGCCTGCAACTGCCTGAGAACCATCTTGGGGACCAGAATGCGTTCCCCACATCCTTCCCTCAGTATCCTACGGAGAAACTGTGGTTCCGAGATCGGCAGCAAGAAAAGCACTCATCTGCACAAACACCTATTTAAGAGCCTGGGACCCTCGCCATGTCCCTTCGGGGGAAGGTCCTAGTGTGGCCGCCATTTCACAGAGGAGGCAGCAAGCCCGAGAGGCCCAGCCACACGCACACAGCGGTCGGGGCCCCAGGGAACGTGTCTGGGCTCCACGGAAGCACCTCTGGGTGCCCACTGCCGGGCAAATAGGGTTTATCAGCAAGTGTTTGTTCAATGCACCGTCGGATGAATCACGGTGAGGTGGCACGCCTCGGAGGCTCCTGCCAGCTGGGAGCGCCCAGGATTACGGGCCCCAGAGAGGTTCCCTGGCGCCTGTGGGGTGCAAAGGCCACCCCCACGGCCCCAGCCCTGGCCCGCAGCACCCCGGCCTCTGTCAGCGGCAAAGCCCTCGGCTCCCAAGGCTGCTCCATCTCGCCACCTGGCCCAAACGTGGGTTCGGGAGTCCAGAGACCAAGGCTGGATACTGGCTCCGGGTCATATCCCTAAGATGCGATCCCTGCAATGCCTACAGGCCCCCTTTCTACCGTTCCGGACTCACAGCACTCCTCCTGGGGAGGGTGCACATGGTCACCATGCTCTTCTCCCCCCTCACACACACTCACTTCCTCTCTCCCTCCTCCAAGGCCCCTGTCTCCAACACTGTCCTTTTACACACACACACACACACACACACACACACACACCTCCGCTGGAGCGGAAGATGCCCGGGGCCACACAGGGGCACCGAGTGCCAGCCCCTTGCTGGCAGGGCTGAGGGGGTGGGGGGGACCCAGGTGGTATATTTAAGAGGCCCAGCAGGCAGGGTGCCCCGAACCAGTGTTCCCGGTGCCCTGAACCAGCGCTGCACCTGTGTTGGAGCAGAGACTGTCATCTTGTCTGGAGTCGCTTCATCCGTGCAAATCATGGATGTGAGGCCACCAGACCTGCTGGCATCAGCGGGACCTGCAGCCTCTCTCAGGGCCCCCGGGCCTCAGGCGCCCTGCTCTGAAGGGTTTCCTTGAGGAACAGTGTCTCCAAGAGGGAACATTTCGCCCTTGGGAGATGAAACAGAGAGGGGGCCGGAGACCGGGATGCCAGGACACATATTTATTGGAGAGAAGGGTACCACTGCCGGCTGCTTCCAGAGAGAGCGAGGGCCAGAGTTCATGAACCTTTTGAGGGGAGGAAAGAGAGGGGACGGGGCTTAGGGCACTCAGCACACGCTGATCGGTGGTTTCATGTAAGGCAGGGGCTTAGAAAGGTGACCAGATCGTCCCGCTTTTGGCGGGACAGACCTGATTTTTAACAATTTTTCTCCCCGCGTCCCACAGTGTTAAAAAAAAAAAAAATTCCCAATTTTTGGAAAGAATCTTTCCAATCTTTCCAAAAATCAGGACTTTTTTTAAACGCCAATGGGCGCAGGAAAAATTGTTGAAAATCGAGACTGTCCCGCCAAAAGCACAACAATCTGGTCACCTTAAAGGGTATTTGGCAGGTGCTGATTGGTGGTTCAATGTACAGTCCACATAAGGTGCCTGGTTAGGTGCTCAGGAATGTCCGGCTGCAGGTGGAGTTCACGTCATTCTCTGTCCATCAGTTGGAGGAAGGGAGAATCTATAAGCCCTGGCCGGCTTGGCTCAGAGGATAGGCATCGGCCTGTGAACTGAGGGGTCCCGGGTTCGATTCCAGCGGGGAGCACATGCCTGGGTTGCGGGCTCAATTCCCAGAGTGTGTGTGTGTGTGTGTGTGTGTGTGTGTGTATGTGTGTGTGGGGGGGGGGGTTGTAGGAGGCAGCCGATCAATTATTCTCTCTCATCATTGATGTTTCTATCTCTCCTCCCTTCCTCTCTGAAGTCAATCAATCAATAAAAATAAATTTAAAAGATGGAACATTTCTTGTTTTTGAGGGTGATGAGCAAGAGTTTTTGAGGGTGATGAGCAAGCATAACAGGGGTCGAGCTAGGTGGGCTCCCCGAAAATTAGCGGGGCTGAGTCTCTCCATCCATCATGAGTCCTGGGAACCCCAATCTCCCCATCCATCCATCAGGGTGTCTGGGAAACTCCACCCTAAGGTGTGTGCACCCGGTCACCTCCTCCCTCTAGGCTCCTGGAGACCTTTCTGCGGCTGCAGAAGTTCACCCACCAGGGGTTCTGGGACCTCTCTGAGGATGTGGGGACCCATTCACCCCATCCATCGGGGATCCCAGGAGGCCCCGGGGCCCAGCCGGAGTCCCGGGTCCCCGGATGCCACCCCCGCTCCAGGTCCTCCCCGCGGCGCGCAGGCGGGAGCCCGCGGGGCGCCCCGGGGATCCCGGGCTGTTGTGCGGCGCGTGTTGACGCCGTCGCCCGGGAGACGCGCGGGGCGGGCGCAGGCGGCGGGGGCGCGGCGGCTGCGCGCGGGGGCCGGGCCGGGGCGCAGGGCCCGGGCCGTGGTCCGGCCGCGCCGCCCCGGGCTTATATACCGCGGCTAAATTTAGGCCGCGCGCGGGGCTCGTCCCCATCCGCGACGCGCTTCCGCCGCCGCCGCCGAGGCCCGGCCCCCGCGCGCGCCGCGGCTATAAGGCCGGGCCGGGCCCGCCCGCGGCTGCAGAGCCTCCCCGCCCGCCCGCGCCCCGCCCGCCCGTGTCCGAAGGCGCGTCCGCCCGGTCCCGGCCATGGCGCTGAGCGAGCCCATCCTGCCGTCCTTCTCCACGTTCGCCAGCCCGTGCCGCGAGCGCGGCCTGCAGGAGGTGAGGGCGGCGGGGGGAGCGGAGCGCGGGCTGCGGGGAAGGAGAACGCAGGCGGCGGGGAAGGTGGACTCAGGGCGGCGGAGTTAGGCGGCACCTAGGGCGAGCTCAGGGGAGTGGACCGCAGGCGGCGGGGGCTGCAGGCTCAGGGCGCTAGCACGAAAGCAGGCGGCGGGGGCTGCAGGCTCCAGGCGCTAGCACGAAAGCAGGCGGTGGGCGGTGGTCCCCCGACCCGCCGATCGCTCACCCCGCCCTCCACCGCCCTGTCCCCCGCAGCGCTGGCCGCGCGCAGAGCCCGAGGCGGGCGGCACCGACGACGACCTCAACAGCGTCCTGGACTTCATCTTGTCCATGGGGCTGGACGGCCTGGGCGCCGAGGCGGCCCCGGAGCCGCCGCCGCCGCCCCCGCCGCCCGCGTTCTACTACCCTGAGCCCGGCGCGCCGCCGCCCTACGGGGCCCCCGCGGGCAGCCTGGTGTCCGAGCTGCTGCCGCCGCCGGAGCTGGACGTGCCGCCGCCGGGGCCCGCGCTGCACGGCCGCTTCCTGCTGGCGCCGCCCGGCCGCCTGGTGAAGGCCGAGCCCCCCGAGGCGGACGGCGGCGGCGGCTACGGCTGCGCGCCCGGCCTGGCCCGCGGGCTGCGCGGCCTCAAGCGCGAGGGTGGCCCGGGCCCCGCGGCCGCCGCCTGCATGCGAGGCCCCGGGGGGCGCCCGCCGCCGCCCGACACGCCGCCGCTCAGCCCCGACGGCCCCGCGCGCCTGCCCGCGCCCGGCCCGCGCGGCCCCTTCCCGCCGCCGCCCTTCGGCGGCCCCGGCTTCGGCGGCCCCGCGCCCGGCCTGCACTACGCGCCGCCGCCCGCGCCCACCGCCTTCGGGCTCTTCGACGACCCGGCCGCCGCCGCAGCGGCTCTGGGTCTGGCGCCGCCCGCAGCCCGAGGTCTCCTCACGCCGCCCGCGTCGCCGCTGGAGCTGCTGGAGGCCAAGCCCAAGCGCGGCCGCCGGTCCTGGCCCCGCAAGCGCACCGCCACGCACACCTGCAGCTACGCCGGCTGCGGCAAGACCTACACCAAGAGCTCGCACCTCAAGGCGCACCTGCGCACGCACACAGGTGAGGGGGAGGAAGGGGCAGGAGGCGAGGGGGGGGGAGGGCAGGGGCGCCATCAGACCCCCCAGGGCAGCGGCGAGGTCCCAGGGACCCCGGAGGAGGAGGCGCGCACGCTTAGGACTTCCCGGGGGCGTGGCGCGGAAGGCTGGGGCGGGGAGGTGTTTGGATAACCTTCAGGGAGCTCTGACGCACCGTATTGGGGAAGTGGGGAGGGGGCGCACGCTGAGGATCCTCCAGGCAGGGTGGCTCAGGGCTTGGGGCGCTGGTGCGCACTTAGGAACCCTGGGGAGGCCGTCTCGGAATGAGGGGAGAGGGCACCTCGGGGGGCGTGGCTCCAAACCCAGGGAGTGGACTGTGTGCGCATCGGACCCTCTGGGGACGAGGATCAAGAGCCATAAATCAGGCCCCTCTGGGGACGAGAAGCAGGAGTGGGGAAACAAGCACCTAGGGGCCTTAACGTTGCAAAATTTGGGGAGGGGGGTCGGCTCAGGGAGTTGGTTTGGGGTCGTCGGTTGCGCACTCCTAAGTAGCCGCTCTCCAGGGCGAGTGTCTTTGCGAACCGAGGCCACTGGGAGGGAAACTGAGGCCCACACTTCCCCTCCCCTCCTCCCCTGCAGGCGAGAAACCCTACCACTGCAACTGGGACGGCTGCGGATGGAAGTTCGCGCGCTCGGACGAGCTCACGCGCCACTACCGCAAGCACACGGGCCACCGGCCGTTCCAGTGCCACCTGTGCGACCGCGCCTTCTCGCGCTCCGACCACCTGGCGCTGCACATGAAGCGGCACCTGTAGCCCGCGCCCCCCCCCCGCCCGCAGCGCCGGCCGTGGCGGGTCCCACGCGCCGGACAGACAGACGGTCGGATGCGGGCCCCCCTCGCACACTGTGACTTGGTATTTATTGGGCCTTAAGGACTGGACGGGGCGCCGCGTGGCCGCCGCCGAGGAGGCTCCCCGGATGGATGAGGACGATGCTGCCGCCCTGGCCCCCCATCAGAGACTGGAGGCCCCGGTGGAAGGAGACCTCGACCCCCTCCTTGACGAGTTCTGTTTTCAAAATGGTGCAATAATGAAGCGTGGTCTCCGCCCCGCCGGGTCTACACTAGAGGATCGAGGCTTGATGCCTCGTGAAGAAATACAGCCTTAATGTGTACTGTCAGCAACTTTTTATATATATATATATATATATATATATATATAATATTGTACATAGCGACTGTGACAGATATTGTATTATTATTGTAAATAAGGAGACAGGCGGCCATTGGCTGCCTGGTTCATTTTTTATAAGACCTTTGCTGTGTTGTTGTTTTTTTAATTAAAAAAAAAGTTTTGCATCTTTTTAAAAAAAAAATCACAGTGCTTGGCTGCTTGGAAGCGGGGGCTCGGGCACAGGGGGAAGGAAGGGTGAGGGACACAGGCAGCTTTGATGGAGGGCGGGCGGCCCCGCCTGGCACAGGGTGGGGAGAGAAAGTGGGTCCTGCCCCGGCCAGCACTCGGCTTGCCAGCTGCAGCGCCCAGCTGCCAGAAACCTGTGGGTTTTTCTATAAATTTAAACACTGCACTTTAGGACCGAGGAAGAGCTATTTTAAGGTTGTTCCCTGAGCCATAAATTGCCTCCTTTCCCCCCAGAGCTGGGGAAAGTGCTGGTCCCACTGACGTGGCCTCCTCTGGGCTGAAAAAGCCTCAGCTAATTCTGAAGCTTTTGAGGTTTGAGCCAAACTGGAGTGTGCAGACTGTTTTGGGGAAGGGTGTTGTTGTTTTTGTGTGTGTTTTTGTTTTTGTTTTTTTAAGTTTCTGACATGCTTTGCCTTTTACTAGTCTTTCCTTTAAGCAGGATTTCTTTTTACAGGAATGAGATCCCATCTTATTTAGGGAAAAGGCCAAGCGAGGCGGGTGCCCCTTCTCCAGACGGGCAAACTGAGGCCCAGAGAGGAAGTGGTGGAGTGGTGGCCTTCGGGTGCCAGCCTGATCGGGCTGCTTCCCAGGGTCCTCAAACCCCACTAGAGGGGACGGGGTGGGGTTCTGAAGTAAACCACCTGCTGATGGCATAGGAGGGACATGAGCCCCCCGCCCCTGCCCCCAGATGCCCTGTGTGGTGGAGTCACATCAGAGCTTTAGTGGATGGAGCTGGCCACTCCAGGAACCCACCCTGCAAGCAAGGGTGGCCCCTGCCTTGTGCTCTGCAAGTCCCAGGGGAGCGAGGAGATGCCCTCCCTGGCAGATTGCCCCGCCACCCCTCCTCTTCCCCCTTCTCGGAGCCCTGGGTGGGTAACCATGGCCACCAACAATTGCACAAGTGTTTTCCAGAAAGTGAAAATAGCTCATAAGTATCGAGTGTTTTAAAACACTCTCGCCCCATTGCGACAGAGGCTGGGATTTCCTCCCTCCCTCCCTCCATCCTTCCTCCCCGCAACCCCCCAGGGCAGCCCTGGAAACAGCTGAGAGCGTTTGGTAATCCAAAAAAGCAGAAATGGGAGCTGACAATCTGATTCATCCTCCTGAGTAGATAGCCTGGCCCCCACTTCCGCCGGGGCGTGTGCGTGTGTGTGTGTGTGTGTGTGTGTGTGTGTGTGTGTGTGTGTTTGCCCGCGCACGCTGCTTGTACCCTCTTTCTCTGCAGCTTTTGCAAAAACTGCCCCAGAGCAGGACAGTGTACCAATGCCCCTCCTCGCTCAGACGGTCTCCGGGCCACTGGGGCAGAAGAGAGACAAGGACGTGTCCATCGTTTCTGCTCGTTGAGCTCAGACTTACGAGGAAAGCTCCTTTTCTGCTTACTTGAAACTGCTCCCAGGTGTTATGCCCCCTCCCTTCTCCCACCCCCTCCCCACATCCCCAGGCTTCTCAGTGCAATGAAAGGCCAGTTGTCTTGGACTGAAGTTGTGAGTTTCTGTCTCCTGAGCGCCTCCATCCATTCGACAGAGTAGAAAGTGCCATCCCCCAGCTCAGCGAGACACAGGGCCGGCTGCTGGCGATGGAGGAGAGAGAGAGAGGCCGCGCTCCTCACGTCTCCCCTTTTCAAAACCAAGCGTCCACGCCCCTCTCGTGGCTTCCGGATGGCGCGTCTCCACCAGGAGCACCCAGCAGGAGAGGGGTTCGGTTGTCACAACAGGGGGGTGCTGCTGGCACCCGCGGGCGAGGGCCAAGAATCCTGCAAACCACGTTCTGGAAGGCACAGGAAGTCCCCGCCACAGAGGATGATCAGCCCCCGGTGTCAACAGGGCCAAGGTTGAGAAATCTGCTCTGGTTCCTAAAAGATCAGCACGCTCGTTGCTCTCGTGAGCACGGAGGCGGCCCCGTCCAGGGAACAGGCTTCCGTGGCCTCCGTGGCCGTGCAGCTGGGAGCAGCGCTGACGCCTCCCGGCCAGGCCGGGCTCCGGGCTCCGGAGAAGACACGGGACCCGAGAGCGTTGCCTTCCTGTGAGCCAAGCCCTGGAGTCCATTTGCAAAAGCGTTAGCTGTCACAGAAAAAGCGTGCACGCCCTGCTTGCTACCCCGGTCCAGGCACCGCTGTGTTGGAGGGAGGGGCTGCCGGCCGGGGCCGGAGTGCTCTCACACCGCTGGGAGGATGAATGCACCCTTTCTCCCCGGGCAAGGTTATGACAACTTTTCCATGCCCCCCCCCTTCCATGGCATGTTTTTATTATCCTTTTTGACAGCTGCATAATATTCCGTTTGGGTGTGCCGGGAATGGCTTGTACAAACAAGCACCGAGCCTATTATTTATACTTGGCCGTGTTTCAGGTGGTCCCGGGGTTGGGGGGCGAAAGGGATGAAGGGATTTTTGGGGGGTGGGGGCTGTAGGGGAGCTTTGGGCAACGCCAAAATGACCTCCCACGCGTGACTCCAGAGACGGGGGTGGGATACAGGAGCTGCTTTTCTGCTGAAGTTTCCTGTGTGTCAGGGAGCCCGGCACCTGCAGGTTGGGGGGGGGGGAGGAGGGGGAATGGGGGAGGGGAGCTGTCGGGGTGAGAGGAGCCCAGCACCTGCCTGACTCAGCACCCCACCCACCCCGTCCGCGGGGCTGCGTTAGCACCTCGGCCCGCCAGCGCCCGGGGAGGCTGAAGGCAGAGGTGGCTCGCGGAGGCAGCAGCACCAGGCAGCTCCCTCCGTCGGCCGGGACCCACACAGAGCTGGGGGGGGGGGTCGTCCTCCACACTGCAGGATGCTGAGCAGCACCCTCGGCCCCCACCCCCTTGACGCCAGCAGCACCCATCTCCCAAGCCGTGACGACCAAAAATGTCTCCAGAGATGGCCAAGTGCCCCCCAGAGGCAGAATCGCCCCGCCTCCCCAGATGGATCGCCACTGGGCTCGGCTCTGTGGGCACCTGGAACCCTCTGCCCCCCCACAGCCCCCTCCGCAGGCCCGGAGGCCGCACATGTGCCAATACACACCGAGTGAAAGGGAGAGAGGCGGTGACTCAGTCGCTGGGGAATCACCCTGGTCAGACCATCACACCCATCAGGGATGTATTCTGGGGACCCAGACCGGAGTCTTTCCAAACAAGTAACCCCGGGGCTGGGCATGCTCTGGGTGAGGCTGTCTGTGCATTTCCGGTCTTGGCCCACTAGATGCCAGTAGCTCCCCCTCCCCCTCCCACTCCCCCAGACCGGAATGTCTCCAGGCATCACCCATGGTCCCGGAGAGGGGGGGAGGGAGTCGCCAGCAGTGGTGACCAGGGCGCGGGCAAAGCACCCTTCCATGGGAGCCCCCGGTCTGCTGTGGGGGCCTGTGTCCTCTCTGAGGTGAGGATGCTGCAAGCCAGGAAGCAACGACAGAACGGGGACCAGCGCCCAGCACTGGGGTGTGGCCGGCACCGTGGGTCTCCCCTGAGGGGGTCGGTGTGCTTGCATTTCTAAGTCTCCCTGCCCCCCACATCTGTGTCTATGTCTTTGTCTCTGTCTCTTTGTCTAGATGGGTAGAAAGATGATAGATGATAGATAAATAGATAGATAGATAGATAGATAGATAGATAGATAGATAGATAGATGATAGATAAATAAATAATCATTCAATCTACCTCTCTCCTTTTCTTTTTCATTTCTCAATCTCTCCTTCTTTCCCCTTCCATCTCACTGTCTCCCCCTCTTCTCCTGCACTTGCGCTCGCTCTCTCTCTCTCTCTCTCTCTCTCTCTTTCTCTCCCTCCTGCCTCTCTCCCTCCTTCTCATTCATTCATGATCTTGATGCCCCGGCCCCAGTGCAGTCCTGGGGAAGCAGAGGTGACTTCGCCTCAGCCCTTCCCCAGAGCCAGTGGACAGCGTTTGCCGAGTGACCGATCTGGGGCTACACTGAGCTGAGCTCAGGGGGAGCAGGTGCTGTCATCGAGGCACTTCTCCCAGATTCACGCTTTCCACCCTCCCCACAAGCTGCGGCCCTCCCAATAGCCTCCCCTTTTCATTGTCCAGGGGCAGAAAGGGGGCTCAGAGAGGGAAGGCTGCCCGGGGCCCAGTGCTGGTACAGGTGGCGGAGCAGGGCTCGAACCCAGGCCGGCCCAGCCCAGATGTCAGCACTCCTGCCGGAGCCTGGAAACATCTGTGGGCTGAGCCAAACCAAGCCGGCCGTTTCCCTCCACGCACCGGCTCCCGGAAGCTGGGGCGTCCCCTGGAGGCCTCCTCCACCTGCACAGCCTAGAAGCTCCTTTTCCAATGAAGTGCCGGCCGGAAAGAACAGGGTCCGGGAACCCAGGTGCCCGGGGAGCCCGGCCTGGCTGTCGTCGGAAGCGGAGGGAGGCCTGGGTGGCAGCTGCCCAAAAAGCTGAACAGCATGTTCCCACGTGGCCTGGGCAGCCCTCT